CCGGCATTTGATTCCCAGGCTGTGTGCGTGGCGTTCACACTTTGCGACACAGTGGTTGTGAGAATCAGCGTTCTAAGCCAAAAAGATAGTGTATGTGTCTATCCGGCGTTTTGAGAGAATCGGTGTTTGGGCGAAAAGGATGGGTAGGTATCGATCGTCACCCAAAACACTGATTCGCTTAGGACACCGATTCTCCCAGAACGCCGATTCGCTCAAGACACTGATTCTCACAAAACACCAACATCGAAAGTATGGTTTTGCGTTCATAATGTTTGCCAGAGTTTTGAGAGTTTTGAGCATTCTCAGCATTTTGAGCTCTGAACGATAGCTATACTAGTTTTTTTTCCGAAAAACGCTCAAAACGACGACGGGAAGTATGAACACAGCTGAACGCTTTAAGAGACCATTTGCCGCTATACCACCATCAGAACCATTATGCGGAGCCTTTGTGCTCAAGTTCAGAGAAGGGGAACAAGTCCTTAAAGTGTGAGGCAAGTCCTTTGGCAAAAAGCGTCTTTACATTTTGTGTGTGTACTTTCTCGGGACCTTTACAGGTCTTTGCAGAGAGCCAAATTTACCAAATCAGTGCTTTATCCTCTCAAAAGATCTAGATGATAGGTGGTTGGTTGATCCTATGAGCAGGCTGTCGTTGTCTTTTGTGTTCCTGTTACTGATATGCCTTCTTGTTCGGTTTTTCTTGTTGCAGGGGCTGAGGCTCTTTCTTGATGACCATGAAAATTAATTGCCAAAAATCTCAGGTAGCACCAATGGCGTCGAGCTCAGCGACGCGATACTCACGGCTCAAAGACCATGATGACGAGGAAGCGGGTGGTAGCGCTTTTGAAGAAATCTTGATGAAACAAGAGGTCAGTGATTTTCTGATTCGCTACTTTTCATTTCTTTCACTTTTTAGCTGAAGCTTCTCTTTTGTTAGGACGATGAGAGGTGTGATACGTTAGGCGTTGTTCACACGTGGGACCATGGCGATCGGCGCATTCGCTAAAAGGCGGTAGGGAGAGACGCCATCGCGGAAAGTTGCAAAACTGTCGAAGACCAGCGGTCGAAGGATATACTCACCTCCAAGAGCGGTCCATCCCATGTGCGAGGTAAATGCGTTCGCAGCTGCAGTAGCGTGTCACTTTCTCCGCTGAAAAGTGCCCGGGAACGGGGCTGGAAGCTAGTGGTACCCAGGTGCCGTTCCCGCACTGCGCGCTCGCCGTCCTCAATGTGCAGCGTTTGCGTCGATACCAAGGTCCTGTAGCGAAACACGTACTCAGCGGCAGTGAGAGGGCGGAGACAAGTGGCGCGTCTGGCTATGGTTAGGCGTGTGGCTGACCGCGCGGCACCGAAGGCGGAGTGTGGAGGCAGCACCAGCTTACTACTCTCCCCCATCTCGTTTCCGTGCACTTTTGGCCGAAAAAGTGGCACGCTACTGTAGTTGCGGACCCATTCACCTCCCATATGGCAAAACCCATGATCCGTGGAGGTGAATGTACTGTTTGTCCTTGCATAGCTATCAATTTCGTTGATTCTGCTTACGCAAAGAACGGGAAATCGGGCGAAGCTGGCTTTCTCCCATTTGCTCTGCTGATTACCTCGATCATACGTATCGAACATTTTCGCAGTGGCGCCGGATTTGCCTGTACGGTTCTTCGACTCTCCCTGTCAGTGCTTATCAGAATCTTTTCGCGAGTGCTTTTCTTTCGTCGATTCATCGGGTCCGCTGACTGAACAATGCCTAATGTAGATATAAAGGCACAGTGTTGGATGGAAGCTTGTAGCGTTCGAATATGAGCCAAATATCTTGATTTGATGAAGTTCAATTATTTTTTTAGTAACGATTATGAGTGAAATAGGTGTTCAGTGAAATTTTCAAGGGGCTGGGGCTCAGAAAGATGGTTTAACGCCCTTTTGCACCTGCTTGCAGACATAGACCTTATGGATCAGCATGCAGATGGCGCAGAACAGTAGCGAAAAAAATCTCATAAAGCGGCCCTGGACAAGACGCCTCTAGTTTCAATAACGTGCTCGAGAGAATGTCTTTTCCTTTCCTATGCAGTTTCGTAGAATTTCTTCGCGATTATGAAGTAGGCGGGGACCCATTGTCTGGGGTGGTAGACACCCGACTCGCGAGCTTCTAGCAGCTCCTGTGGACCGCAATCACTAACCCTTTCGTGATCTCCGTGGAGCTGCCTGAATCCGCGTACTTTGACCGCAGAAGAATAAAAGGAGAAGGAAAAGGAATCAGTAGAGTTAGGTAATACTTAGAGTTACAGTAGAGTTAGGGTTTTTTTATTTTCTCTCTTTTTTATTA